CTGCCTCTCCCGCCCTGGGTCTCCTCGCCTTGGGCCGCTTGGCGGGCGTCCTCGCTTTCGCACTCTGCTCATCTGAGGTCTCTGTCCTGTGTCCCCTGTGAGTCTTCCGAGACAATTCGAGAGTCCACTGACTCTGGACCGCGTCTAAAGCACCACAAGAATTAATTCCGACCCGAACGCTCCAAGACGTACACCTGTGTGTAACATCACGCAGACGGATGAACAGTTTTTATCTGTTACTTGACAGCTCTGCACAGCCCCCTTGTGGACAACACCTAGACAAGCACTCAGCTTGAGAAGCGTTCACAGATCAGGGAGGGAAAGTCATCTCTTCACTGAGGGCACCGATATCCCGGGCAGTGTTCTGTGCAGAAGGATGCGTGGATTTCCGGTCCGTATCCACCGGCAACAGTGAATTCCTGCTCTTTCTGAAAAAGGCGTGCAAGGCCGAGGATTTAGCTCAGTGGTTTCGACGCCTGCTACCCAAGCGCAAGGACCCAAGTTTGATCCCCGGTACCCCCCAAAAAAAAAAAAAGGGCGTGCAGGATCAGACCACCCACCTCATCGCTGCAGGCACCTGGCCCAAGATACTAGCCCCTTGTCACTGAGTGGATTGACTTTCCACCAGGGTGACAAAACACCCGAGAATAACACCTCGGAGGAGGGCAGAATTGCTGGGCTCCTGGTTTCTGAGGTCTCAGTCTGTGGCCTGCTGGCTTCTCTACTTCTGGCCTCAGGTGAGGAAGAAGCAAGTGGGAGCAGGGCAGTGTGCAGGGAAGCAAGCTTTTTACTACGGGGAGGGGAAGGAGCGAACGAGGGAAAGAAGAGGCGAGGGAGAGAGGAGCAGATACTGTTCACTCCCTGGGGCGCTCCGGGACAGATCCCCTCATGCAGCCCCCACTTCACGTTCTTATCCCCTGCCCCAGTGCCATCAGATCCTGAGTCTGCCCATGGAGGAATCCACTGATGAGTACAGTGCCCTCAGGATCCATTTGCCTTCCACAGACCTCAGCTCAGAACACAGCAACTTTGGGGACATCCTAGATCCAAGCCACAGCACCGGGGGTTACTGCAAAGCTCCACAGCAGCACTCTCTGCCTGCAGCTCCCTCATTATCTTTGCTCTCACAGGAGCTATGGGAGTGACCACCATAGTATCAGGGCCCAGGAGCCTTGCTGCCGAATCTTTCACCCTTCAGCACCCAGAGAACAGAGGCTGATCCTCCCAGTGGTCTGCAGTCTCTGATTTCTCTGGCCTCACTGGCCTGTGCTGAAGCCCCACTGTGGTATGTCCTCAGTCTCTCTCTGCAAGCCCTTGAGTATGGGGACCCCATCACTGTGGAGACTCACAAGCAGGGACTGTGTGGGTAGCACACCTCTGCTGCATTCTCCCTCCCCTCACACAGTGCTCCGTGCTCATCCCCTCTGATACAGCGCTTGGTTTGCTCATTCATCACGCACTGCTCTTTAAAAAAACACTTATTTGCACATTTGCAACACATGATGATTACTTTCATTGTGGGGATCTTAGTTCTTTTTAATTCCCTTCCCCTCCCCTCTTTGGCCTTCCCTCCATCTCATGGTCTTCTTCCCAGTGCAAAAGATCTCCCTGCCTATTTCCTTTTATGTATGTTTTATTTTGCTTTTTGTTTGGATTTCTCATATGAAAGAAACCATACAGTATTTAATCTTATGTTTCTGACTTATTTCACTTAACATTATGTTTTCATGGTGGATCCATTTTTTCCTACAAATGATTCAAATGTATCTTTCTTTATAGCAGACTAGTACTCTGTTGTGTGACAATACTACATTTTCTGTATCCATTCGTCTGTTGATGGCCGTATAGGCTGCTTCCAAGGTTTAGCTATTATGAGTTGTGCTGCTATAAACATGGGTATGCATGGATCACTGTGACACAATGTTTTTAATTCTTTCAGAAGGAGAATAGCTGGTGATGTAGACAGATGCCAGTGCCTCACTAACCCCAGAGGGTGAGCGCTTATAGGGTTCAGCTAACGTTCCCCCAAATCTCATTCTATGAGAGGTTCTGCCTATGCCCACTGGGAAATACCCCACTCTGTCTCCAGCATCTTGTTACTTGGGGACGTCTATGTGTGTACAGGATTTTAAAGACACAGGTGCCAGCCCACAGCGATCTTCATTCTAGGGTAGAAATGGAGTTAAAGGTTCCTAAGACTCCAGGAGGTCTCTGAGTTCAAGCTGCAGGTCAGTTCCGAGAGCTCTCAGCTGCAGGAAGGGTGTGTATGGCCCCTAACTACGAGACACACACAGTCACACTGTGGCCTTGTGATGTGGAGTAACTGTAGGATGCACACAAAGGGTGCTTTCATCACAGCATAAGTTATTAACTTAAACCAAATGCTCTTGGGACTTCTTTATTCTGTGAAGGAGTTTTTATAAACTTCCATGATACTTCACCCAATTCTCCCTTGTTTACTTTCATTGAGAGATTTCAATATTTTATAATTTAGTCTCTTTCACCTTTGGAAATAAACCAGACTTGGGAGGAATGTTTTGTCAGGGTTTTGGATGCATTCAGTGTGCTGGGTGATTTATGAGGTCAGAGCTCCGTTTAGGGAAGTAGGTGGATGGAGCCGAGCCTGGCCGGGTCTGCACCAGGCCTCCTGAATCTTGCCGTCCTGGTTCTGGGCTGTGTCTCTGGTAGACTTCTGTGGGTTTTTTTTTTTTTTTTTGGTACCGGTGATCGAACTCAGGTCCTTGTGCTTGCCAGGCAGGTGTTGGAACCGCTGAGCTAAATCCCCGGCCCTGGGCTGTGTCTCCATCACGGGAGCATGCAGCAATCAGCGTGACTGTCACAGCATCAGCACAGAAAACCTAGGCTGAGAGGAGTCCTGGAAGAACCCCAGAGCTTCCAAAGGACACCTGATTAGATCAGGGAATGGGTCCTGCCAGAGCATCACCCTGGTCCACTTTGGGCAGAGCTGGCCCACTGCATGCACACAGCTGGTGTGTCTTGAAGTTCACACGTAGTGGATGCCATGAAGGAACTGTCCAGCAGCGGTGTGGAATCCACACAGGGAGACAGCTGGCCCAGGGGTTCAGTGTTCAGCATTCATTCTTGCCCACGTGCTCTCCTGAATTTCTCCTGTTTCCATTACTGTCCTACTTGGGAGGAAGCTGAGGACTGTCCCAGGTCTTGCTGTGGAAGCCAGGCATTCCCCCAGGGTCAGGCAGCCCCTACGTTGCTTCCTGGGAAGGGGACCCACTGTTGGGCAGTAAGGTCTCTGGCCTGGCAATGAAGAATTACAGAGTCTGAGCTGTACAGGGAAACACATTCCAGTCTTGAGCAGATGGAGCTGACTCTATGGCAGAAAGAAGGAAGTGTAGAGCTCTGTGACCTAGGAGATTCCCTGGATCAACTGATTCCAGAGCTCTCTTAAGCTCGGAATTCCAGGTAAGGGTTTTAATTGTCTTACGCCAGGCTGAGTTGGACTTTCCCTTCCATATCTGTGACTCTTTTGGGGTAACACAAAATGAGAATTAGTATCTCTAAGTTTCTTTCGCTTCCATTCATACCCCTTACTTATGGCCATTAATTTAAGACTATCTCAAACTGCTTCTTCTTTTGGATTGGTTTACTTTAAAAACAAACACCTACAGAGAGAGCAGGATGCCTGGCTTCTGAGCTGGGACCTTCCTTGTGGTAACAACAAAAGAGCGGTGAGCACCAGACATGGAAGCCACAGCAGATTTAAAAATGGATGATATTGAGAAAGGCAAGAGTTTTGTACAGAAGGGTGCCCAGTGCCACACTGTGGAGAAGGGAGGCAAGCACAAGACGGGGCCAAATCATGGTCTGTGTGGGCGGAAGACAGGTCAAGCTGCTGGATTCTCTTACACAGATGCCGGCAAGAACAAAGGCATCACCGGGGGAGAGGATACGCTGATGGAGTACTTGGAGAATCCCAAGAAGTACAACCCTGGAACAAAAATGATCTTTGCTGGCATTAAGAAGAAGGGAGAAAGGGCAGACTTAATAGCTTACCTCAAAAAAAGCTACTAATGAGTAATAGTCACTGCCTTATTTGTTACAAAACAGAAACGTCTCATGGCTTTCTTATGTGTACCATAATTTAATAGATCTCATACACCAGAATTCAGATCATGAGTGGCTGACAGAATATTTTTGTTGGACAGTCCTGATTTAAGTAAAATTGGCTTATAGTTAAATGGATATCTTTTTTTTTCAAGTTTTGATAGTAATTCCAGCTCAGTAAATGCTATCACTGTTTTCCCTTTCTAAAAATATGGTTGGACTTGATTAGTAATGTTCAGCTTTTCACAAAGATGGAGAATGTTATCTCAAAACCCACTGGAGGCTGGTTTTATATTTAGATTCATACATATAACTGGTTGTGTGAATATGTTTAAATACCAGGGAAATCCTTCACTGTCTCACAACCGAGCAAGACTCCTGTTTCCGTTTGTTTATTAGCTTGTAAAAGACAGTGGTTGAAGACAAGGAAGGAACATCTATATTTTTTATCTTGACTATGCCAATTTAATTAAATTCCCTGTATCTAAAGACTGCTGCCTTTTACTTACTGAAAGGCATTTTAGTTTGGTGTATGTATAATACGAAATAAAGGATAGTTAACACTTCTCACCTTTTATAGTTGATCTGTAAGTTCAGATCCTTTTACAAGCATGATACAAAAGTAAGTTAGATTTTATTTTTGAATTCTTTACTTTGGACTAAGTTATTATTCAGGATAGTATTTAAACAGCTATTTAAAAACACAAGATTGAAACTCCTGTTGTATGTGTGATCGGCAGTGGTGCTTTTTGTCAGCTCATTTAGAAGGACTAAAGTGGGGAAGGTACAACATCAGCACAAATCTGTGTGTGACCATAATACTTAATTAAAAACAAAATCAGATTAAAAACCCAAACACATGTACATACATACACACACACTTTCTGTGGTGATTATTGAGCCCAGGGCCTTGCACAAGCTAAACACACACTCTACTTCCGAGCCACACCCCTAACCTTTCTTTTTAAATATTGTTTTAAGCCCCGGGGCCATGTGGCAGAACAAATGACAGTCATAATAACAGCTAATGTTTGCTGTAAGTTTGCTGCCTGTGAGGCATTCTCTCAAGCATTTTATGTGTCTATTTTGTCATCTCTACAATAACACGCTGAGGCCAGGACTGCAGTTTCCCTGTTTTGAAGAAGACGGTGACAGAGGCAGGGAGAGGTGCTCAGGCCACACCCCCCGTGGAGGACAGGACCCCGGTGGAGCTGCCTGATGACAGGTACAGTGCACACTGGTCCCCTGTGTGGGTCTTTCCAGGCTAAGCAG